TTTGGACGTCTTATCTAGGTTTAACCTTTGGGGTTTATGCCCGAGTCTCCTAGACCGGTTTCTCGTACTCATGGCTCGTATCCACTACATTAGGGGACAAAGCACTAGAAGTATAATCCATTTGGGTTCCCCTTTTTTCTGAATTTTTTTATTATTCTTATTTTTTTATTTCAAACCAAATCCAATGGAAATATTTACAAATTCAATCAACCATCACCTCCAACTCTCAACCCGCAACTCATGTCATCATCACGAGGTTAATAATAAAATCAATTTAAGGATCAAAATGGGTGACTAGTGACTATTATTCTCGCAAAAGAAAGAGGAAAAGATAATACAGAGAATGCCTCAATCATATTCACGTTTCACAAATCTAATCGAGTTATTTCAAAGCAGTCTCAAGGCAAAGTCTAATTGACAAGATTTCAACCAATATCACACAAGAAACAACAAAGGCTCAAACCTCACAAGGTAAATATGTCCTTCAAAACAACCAAGCCTATTAATCAAGATATGCTACTCGATCTCATCATCACAACTTCTCAAATTCAATCAACAGTTATCAACCAATATTACAATACACCATAATCCAAGCTCAGAAAACAAACAGAAACCTAAAACTAGACCGGTCCACCACATAAGCATGCAAAATCCAAATAGACTCCCCCACACTTAAAATGAGGCAATGACCTCATTGTTTCAACTCAAAGCAGGAAGTCAAATTCTAAGACCAAACAATTTCACATAATGAACCAAACTAGCAGCTATCACAAGACACAAACTCACAAGAAAAGACAAGAGAAAGAAACAACTCAAAAAGGATAAAAAGAAAAGGGAAAAAAAGTGTGCAAACCGAAACGCCCCGAGGAGGATAAGCATCTACGTGCAAGCCGCTCGCCTATGCTAAGCCCAAAACCTTGATACTCCTCTTGCTCGAGCTCACATATAGTACCTGCCGAGAAAAACACAAAACTCCAAAAACTCCAATTATTCAAAAAGAAAACTAGAAAAAGCATAGATGAAAATATCATAGAAAGCAATAAATCGCTTGGGTTGCCTCCCAAGAAGCGCTTGTTTAATGTCATTAGCTTGACGAAACCTGCGGGGAACTCAGCCGGGATCTAGAAAGAAGTGACGGTCATGCCACACCTTCGTATTTTCGAGAAGTGGTAGCTCAGGCAGTCTGGAAAGAAGGTGGGCATGGTGGATCCGGGTGGCTATGTTCTGGATAAAGCGGTCTCGGGCACGAGCAATCCCCAACTCTAGACG